GGATAAATTTTAAATAGAATATCAATCACATAAGATTTCATATTAGATAGATTTTTCCGTTAATTTTCGTCTGACTTTAGAGTCAGTTAAACTTTTTATTAAATAATTTTGTTGACGAGTTTGTAAGCAAATAAAAAGTGAAAACTGAGACCACAATTAAAATTCATCACAAATAAATTGGGAACATTCAAGAAACAAGTATTCGCAAATGCAGATGGTGCCGGATATGGAAGAAAACTGCCAATCAAATTGTGTTATGTATTTTTCTCTTGCGGTACAGTTTTTTTGCGGGGTATAGCAGTGGTAAATTTATATATTATTTTATTGACATTGAAATGCCAAAGTTTATTATGAAGCTTTGTGCTGATAAAGGGTTGGCCATTTTCGTTATTTTTGTCATTTCAGTACTCTGTATTTTGTCTAATACATATCCAATGACTGTGAAATAAAACATCAAATGTTGGCGATGTCTATATTAACTCACAATTATGACTACACAATACAATTTAGTTTACAGATATAAGACCCTCATCAGATTTCTCTATATTAATTATATTACCAATTTGGTACAACATATTGTTTAAAGCAATGCAATGCAATAACATTTAATAAGTGCAAACACGCAGATGAAAGTGTGGAAAGAGAAATCTTAATTCTTTCCATGTGATCAAAACTTCTAGGCCAGTATAGATAAGAATATTTGGTGCTTTACTAAAAAATAATTAATGTTTTAATGTTCGCACAGAAACTTAAAGAATGATATAATAATAATCAATTGTAAAGGTTTTGAACAATCGTACAAAAAAAGGATTCAATATTTTAAAATGAATGTACAAAACTATGTACGTAATCGACCAACAAAGGAGAAAATAGGACCAAAAACTGGTTAGTTTCAATTATTCACTACTAATGTAATTCCAGATAATGTTGTTGAACATTAAATTTAGAGAATTACATTTTTCCTAGATTGATACATGTGAGAAAGGTGAAACTTGAGATATGATGTTAAGATGTTGTGCTTTTATTCATATTATTCTTGAACGAAAAAAACAGATATTTCTTGAAAACCATATTAGGCCGTTAGAAACTTTAGTTGTCTTATCTATTATGTTAAAGTGTTCAAGGAAACTGTGAAAACCCACAGGGAACTAAAAAACTTGATTTGATTATTTTGTCACAAATAGTAAAAACCTGTATGTGACATTTCTAGGAAAACTACAATAAAGGACTTTCACAAAAGTTAAGGAAAAATAATCCGGACATCATTGTTTTAAAAAAAAGCAGGACACTCAATTACCCATAATGAGTTGCTTATTAAGAAATACGGAAAATAGTTCACGTATATGTATAGGCCTAATTTATAAAATCGATTAATGCAATATATGTGAATAGAGGATTTTTATAAATGGTTTCATAGAGACACGAGAAATTAATAATATATTATTAAGTAATGAGAGTTGATGAAAAATGTTAAAGATATAATCATACCATAAGCTTATACATCTAGAAACACACTGGTTAAAAAAAATCCACTTATTTTTTTAAGTACTGATGATTCCAAGTATTTCAACGTATACATAGATAAACTGATGTAGCAAATGTTAAGATAATTTACGTCTAAACTCCAGTTAGGGGGAAAATAGAAATATTCTTAAAAATAGTTTATGACATTGTCGTACGCGTTACAAATATCCAGAATATCCCAGACTCGGCGTATTCGTGCTTTTCAGACATGGTTGCAATCAGTTCTCCTGACCTCTTTGACTTCCGTATACTACATATATACGGAGTAGGGTACGTAATTTCGTACATATATTCGTAGGATAGAAATTAATTTATGTAATGAGGCGGAACAAATCGACTCCCAGATTTCAACGAATATACACGTTTGGGTCCCTGATTACCAAAAACAAGTTTTGTCTTGTTTTTTTCCTCAAAAAACGACCGTCCGCCCGTCTGTCCTGATTGTATGTGAACAACACTAGCGCCTAAATCAATTGCGTAGGGTTTTTTCCAGATTGAAGAAACCCCTGTGTTCAATTTGGCCAGAGTCGATGCTCTGCGATTTTCATTCAATTAATTTTTGGAGGTGCTTTAACCTGACGTCCCCAGGGGTCATTTTCAAAATTTCTCAAAAAATGCCCCAAATTTTTTTCGTTTTGAATTTCTTAGTAAGATTGAGTTAAAATACACTATAAAGGTGGCATGGGTCCGGTTTTAACGGATTATACTCTGAATTTTCGTAATTTCAAAAATTCTCGGTCGTCTACTACAAAAATCAACTACAAAATTTAAGAAGAGGGTTTTTTTCAAATAAAAAATTTCTCTCCATTAGTGAGTCTTTCCAATAAGGAAGGCTTATGTACATACATTTTAAAATTTTAGTATTTTCGCACAATATATCGAGGCAATATCGCATTTTAAAAATTACAAAAAACAAAGATTCCTCAAAAATGGCTCCGTTTTTACCTTTTGGAAGGGATAGTGCAAAGATGACAAAGACGCCATTATTGTTTTATTTTTTGTGTTTTTTGAAAATTTATAAAATTTAATTTTTTGAATGTCTCTCACGTCGTTAATATTGTATAATCAATTTGTTTCACATTACGGTATTTTTATGAGTTACATTGTGCTTTTAAGTAAAGTCATATAAACTTTATCGAAAACCAACCGTTTCAGTTAAAAACTAGCTCCAAATTCCCCGTATTTTAGGAATACTCAAAACCGCAATTTTCCCAAAAAACATTTCCAATTTTTTTAACTTTTCGAACGGATAGTTGCTAAGTTGCATTCTTTAATATGACGTTGTAATTGAATAATGTAATTTCTGGAATAATCTTCTCACATCGTTTGTTATGCGCCACTCTCTCCAGTTGCAAGTAATTTTGTAAACACTGTACTGTATTTGTGCGTCGCACTCTCACTGCATTATCGCCTCAAATGTTTCGAATTTGAACAGGTTTCTGAAAACTAAAGATGATAACGAAAACTCAACAAGTTTTGTTTACTCAATTTCTTGAATGAGTCGAAGTGCGTGGCGTGCGTTATTGATAAAAGACATCAAATCTTTAATTACTTAACACAGTAGCGCTTATTTTTGTGTGTCTATTTAGCGTGTAACACGCCAGTGTTTTTTTTTTATAAAAACGGTCTCCATAATATGATTCACATGATGATTTTGCCAATTTTAGCCGCTGGATTATTACTGTTCTTTAGACTAGTTCATACAAATACAATTTTACGACTTCTAATTAGTTTTAGGGGGAAACACGACGCGACAAAATTAATATGAAATTTCAAGACGTTTGTGTGGAGAAAGAAAAAAAATGTTACTTTGGGCGGCGCGTGTAGATCGGCAGCAGCCAAACATTTTTGTGGCAAGTCTCTATATCTAGCTAGAGAACCAAAAGAAATGAAAACCTAATACGGGAAAGTTGTGTGATCTAGTCGTGTGCGCGTCGCGCCGTGTTGTTGTGCGGTGTAATAGTTAGTCCAACCAAGGTTTTTATTATAGTATATGAGCTAGAAGTGCCTTAAATAAATGTCCTATTAAAGCTCTCAAAACTCAAAACGTTTTTCTGTAACAAAGAGGACTCAAAATTTCGCCATTGCAGAACTGATGTGCTGATCGTGCGCTGTGGCACGTCAAACGCCATTTTCTCGATAATTTCTCGAAAATACCGAAATTTTCCTCTGGAAAATATGATCGGGCTTTCATGTGTCTGGTCGTGATAGTGTGTATTGTTTGTGTTTGCGTCGTGTGGGTAATTAGCTGTTGCTAGTGTTGCGCTTGACAACCGGGAATTGTGCGGTGCGCTCTCGAAGTGTGTTATCTGATACGTGTTGATAAACTCCAACTACTGAAATGTAATTTATCAGGTTGTGTGAAAGCTAAGGGTCCCAGCTTGACGTGTTCTTTCTTATTCTGATCCAGATGTGTCGGTCGCAGGCATCTGCAGCGTTTTCATGGCGAATCTTTCGTTATTTAATTATATCAGGATACGAAATTTCTTTCATCCTCTATTTGCGTTCTCTCGGTGTATAGTAAGCATGATTATGAACTAAGATGCGATTGCGGGTGTAGACCAACTTATTTATATAGCTCGGAAATTAACTCTGATAAACCGATATATTATCACAATTCAGAGAGTTGCTGAGCGTCTGCTCTCCTGTGCACGCTGTAGTGGTCGTGTTCAATCATTTGTACATAAGGGCGCTTTCTATATTTCGAATACCCATACTCTAATGCTAGTTAAATGGTTAAATTTGGTGAAGTGTGTGTGCGGATGAGTGAGTGGGGTTACACGGTCTGTCGTGATTCATATGGGCTTCCACAGACGCAAAGCTATTCTAATTTGCTGGCATGATGAAGTGTATGTGCTGTGAACTCGCTCGATAGGACTCCTCTTAAAACAAACACAGGAATCTTCACATGTGATGCAATAGGTTATGATAGTGAAGAGTGTAGTGGCGAGTGCAGGGGCGATACCAAGTGTTCAAATTAGAATGTGCACGTCGTCTGTGCTATAGCACTAGATGCAATAGTTATCTAGTGCTGAGTCTGCAATGAGAGGTGAGGCATGATTTTTGTTGTGGATCTCCAACCTAGAGTGTTGACGAGCCCCGGCAATGTTAGGGCTACAACGAGTACATCAAAGCTATGGCCTAGTGCGTGAGGAGAGCGTGCTGAAGTTGCCTGGTGTGTAGGGTAACAGGTACACTGCGCGCTAGAAAAGGTGGGACATTATACCTGTAGCACATGAAATGCAGTATACACTTGTTGAATGATAATGTGAAGATGCTAAGTGTGTG